GCGGGTGATTGTGCGGGCAAAGGAGTCCGAGGACGAAAGTCGGGGTAGGTTGGAGCGTCCGAGGGGGCGGCGGTTGGATGCGCCTCGGATGCGCTCGGACCCTCCGAAGGGGGCCGAAGCGGGGGAAGTGGGGGTTCCCCTGACAGTGTCCTTATACCCATATAAGTCTCAAATCTTTTATATAGAAAAAGTTTTTTTTTTTCTCCCCCAGGGACCCTCCCCCCTACCCCATGTATATGATAAGAATCTTGGACCCTTGGTCCTTGGTAATATCCAGTACTGCCAGTTCAAGTTTCAAATAAACTTCTGATCAATCTGATTCAACTGGGCCTTGGACGTGCCCTATAGCTTATAACAAGTAGGTGTCATAACTAAGTATCTTTGCCCCCCCTCACTGCAAGAGTTCGGGAATAAATGGTGCCCCTTTCGATCAATTATACACTTAAAATCCATGCACCAAAAAAGAATTTTTTTTATGCCTCTATTTGCAGCCAAAAAAGATTGTTTCAAATTTGCCTGCTTATATAAGAAATAGATGCTATAAACGGACTCAGTTTTATCACCCACTTTGGGGGCAGATCAAACACCCTTTTCTAGACCAGCTTTTGCATCAAAATGGGAACCAAAAAATATGGTCCAGGGCCCTGATATATATCATAGAAGTGAATATACATAAATATTTTTGGTCCTTGTTTTGATACAAAAGTTGGTCTAGAAAAGGCTGTTTGATCTGCCCCCAAACCAGTTGACAAAACTGAGTCTGTTTATAGCATCTCTTTTTCATACAAGCAGGCAAATTTGGAACAATTTTTTTTGGGTGCAAATAGAGTAATAAAAAAAATTATTTTTTTGGTACATTGATTTTAGGTGTATAATCGATCGAAACGGGCACTGTTTATTCCCAAACTCCCGCAGTGCGTCTTGCTGGCTGAGTTTCAGCTTACTTACTATCGATGGACCAAACCCCTAGGTAGATCCTTGACCGTCTCCCGCACCCGGGGGGCTTTCAGCTGCAGCTCGCGCACCTGCAAAACGGCCGCTCACGCAGCAAAGTATTCGTCCTTCTTCTCGGCGTAGATCTGCGCGTCCTTGAACAGCCAGTTAGTATGCATACCACTGGCAGAGGTGCAAATGCATGACGTACAAAGGGCCACAGCTCCGGCAGCCTGCGCGCGTCCCGGGCGTCATTGCGCATGTATTCCGGCTCGTGCAGCCGGAGGAAGGGCAGCACGGGCGGGATGTACTCCCCGCGGACGTGCTCCGGATCACAGCCCTGGTCTTCCACCTGATAAGTAATAAATCCGCAGGCAGCCCGATTGGGCGACGCACCGAAGATGCGCAGCACGCGGGCCGTGCGCCGGCGGTTCAGCGCCTGCGTGAGCGCCGCGGTGATCCACTGGGCCGCGATCGCGCCGAGCCAGAGACAGAGCGCGGGCACGACGAGGAGGATGACGGCGATCAGCAGCACGAGCGTCCCCGCGGTCGACTTGATGGGCCAGTGCGCGGCCACGTCGGCCGGGGTGCGGAGGACCCCGATGCAGACGGCATATAGTGCGGCCGCGACGGCGGCGAGCGATGCGAGGGCGAGGCCGATGATGACGGTGCGGCGGAACATGAGGATGCCGTTGCGCCACTCCTCGTAGTGCAGGAAGCGGAAGACGAGGGAGACGGACGCGGGGTCGTGCCGCTGCAGGAGGTCGAGCGGGATCAGATGCGGGGCATAAGAGGCGAACTTTGCGGTGCGCGGGACGAGCAGCGCGCGGCGCGGCACGGAGACGGCGATCAGCGGGAAGGCGTAGTGCCGCAGCGCGAGCGTGTGGAAGAGGATGCGCGCGAACCAGTAGCAGTTGCTCCCCGCGAGGCTGTAGCGCGGCGCCTCGGCGGAGATGACGCGGATGTCCCATTTGTAGTCCAGGAAGTCGTTGAAGCCGTTGAAGCAGAGGACACCTGGCGAGTCCACGTGAGTGTTTATATATAACTTGATCACACTTACCTTGGGGGAGGAGGCGCCTGTCCGTCACGAGCGCACAGAGCAGACACCGGACACGCCGCATACCCGTACGGCATACGCTGTGGCCGCGGCACTGGCACCGGGCCGGAGCACATGCTTGATAAGCGTCACTCCGATAATGCACTTGGTTAGCAACGAAAGCGGGTTAAATATCGCGCACCTCGAAAGTCAGAGGGATCACGGTGCGGCGCCGGTCCTATAAATAGTGAATTATTACTAAATACCAGCGTCCGGCGCGGCCCCTGTCTCTGCCAAGCAGGCGAGACACGCTCCGGTGTCTGGTGTCGGCCCCTTGCCGCCGCTCCGTTCCGCGGACGCGGGTCGGGTGTCTGTCTTGTCTGTGTCTGTGTCTGAGACCGTGACGCTCCACACTCCGCCGGGTATAAAGCCGCCGCGAGGGAGATCTATGGCCGCTACCCCCTCAACGCACACTAACACAATGGCCACCATTACTTCTACAGCGCCGCTTTACGCCACCGCATCCGCCGCTGACCCGCACGGCCCCGGCCACCTGCGCCACCGTGACCGGCGCTCGGCCCGGCCTCGTAACCGCGACGTGGACACAGCCGGCGGTGGCAAGCCACGAGACGTCGAGGCGGCGCTACACGCCCATGATCCCGACGGCGACGATGACGAAGAGACAGACGAGACCTCGCTGCACGAGGCGACGCGCGAGGCCGTGCGCCTCAGCGCGACCTTCCGCAAGCCGTCCGGGGCGGGTCCCGGGCCCGGGCCGGAGGCCGAGCAGGGTGCGTTCCCTTTTCAATTTCATCGATGAATCGTAGTCTGACGACGCATATAGAAAAACGCACGAGCAAGCGCAGCTCGTGGTACGCTGCCGTGCGTGTACGCGCGCTCGCCGCGCCAACCCCGGCCCCTACAATCAGCACGAGCACAGGCACAGGGGCGGGCCGCGCGCGCGGTGCGACGACGCCGGCGTGGCTGCACGCGTGGATGCCCGCGCGCCGGGCCGGGCCGTCCGCGGGGCTCCCGGTGTACATGATGCGCCAGCACCACCGCCGCACCGCAAGCGGCGGGTCGCTGTTGAGCCGCCTCGGGCTCGTTGGGGCATAGTAGGAGGCCTAGGAATAAGGCCCTGATCGGGTGCTGGCGAGCCATGGCAATCCCATTCAGTAACGGATGTATTGTAATCATGATTTTGATTTGAATCTTTTCCCTCTCCTGCATTGTTGATGCGTCCTTTCTTGTGATGGTGGGCGGTTCAATGGCTGACAGGTCAAGCCCAACATGTCGTTACCCCTTATGACATGCGACAAAGCTCGACATTTGGCTAGGACTGTAAATCAATGGGATCTTTCTAAGAAATACAAAAAACTTCACACTGGTGATTAAAGGATTTTGCTGCATAAAACCCTACCATCTGGTGCAAAATAGGATGTTGCTATCGAAGTATTATCCTGGCCTCATTGATATATACGATTGTATCCCTTAGGGCTTGGTTTATAAGGGGTGCTTGTAAAACGGTGCTTTACGCTCCAACTAATTATGTACTATCCATATACACTCCAAGGATGTATTGTATTGGGATACGGATAGAGGATATAGTAGATAATAAATTGTTTTAGATTATTATTTTGATATATTATACTGTAGCAATTTATTCAATTGGGCAGTCACGTGTCACACCGGCCCTCCTATGCCGAAATATTTCGGCGTGTCACGGGCCCACAGCCAGATGCTGAATGTCAAATGACCATCAAAGCATCAGAAAATTTTGGCGGCCCTCCGGGCTGCTAAATAGGCTGAAAATTTTTGGCAGTCACACACATTGACAGGCAGTGCTGAAAATTTAATTTCGGCGCCGATGTCACACCATTTTGGGGCGCCGAATTGAATAAATTACTACAGTACTTCTGATAGTTATTCACAATCTAGTACAGCTCTGCCATATGGTGAAGACAATAATAACATCTTAGTTGTAGTTCGAATTCCTGAGAGTCTTAGCACTGCAAGAAGTTGACATTGAGGTTAACCAAGGCTTTAAGTAGTCAAATATAATAGTAAAACAGCCAAAGCACAGCTATTAGATCAAGAGGAAACTGGGTAATAAGATGAATGTCTTGCTGATAATTAACTATAAACTCTTTTCTTGCTGTAATACTTACTGCCTTTTGATGTGATCAATTTCCTGATATTGAAATTTGAAGTTTCACCCAGACTTATAATTGATATATGAGATGAGTATTGTACTTTGGCTGTACATCAAAAATGGTAATTTCTGGAAATTTTCGTGCCTCATGCAGAACTTCCATATAAGGCAGGAGGTCACACCAAATTCAGCCCTTGGCTGAATTCACAGCCGCGATTCAAAAATGTTTAGGTGGGAAACATTAGTGGGAATATATAAAGTTTTTTCTTGGCCCAAAAACTCATTGCAAAACATTAAATATTTTGGTCCTAAAAATCCTGTTGCCCCAGCCAAGTCAACATTTTTTGGGCAGAAAAACTCAAAGTTTTTTACACAATAAAAAATTAATTGCAAAATTTTATATATTCCCACTAACGTTTCCCACCTAAACATTTTTGAATCATGGCTGTGAATATTGCACATTGCTGCTATATGTGTCACAGGTCACAGGCCCACAGAATTGAATGAAATAGTACAATAGTATTGGGAGTTTATGTTCTGGACATATTCAGCATGGCAAAACAAGAAAAAGGACGGCTTTTTGTCCACAATTTTTTTTTTAAAAAAAAAGCTACCATTCAATTTATACAACCCAAAGAAATAGATAGATAAATCTGTGATTTACTCTTGCCTCTAAGTATCCTATAACTTTCACTTTCCCAAGGGGGGAGTTTCTGAATCAGCCCATTGTGAAACAAAGGAGTCTCCCATATCCTCTTAGGAGAAGGCAGAGAGAAAAATTATTTGATCGGGTAACTGTCATCTGTATCGTATCCTATCGCATCATATTCGTGTTTTTTTTTTCTGCTTCCCCTCCATCCTCAATGTCGGCCCGGGCGCTCAGTTGACGCCCTGCTCCACCTCCTTCTCCCCCTGCGTCTCCGGCGCTGCCTCCTTTTCGGCCCGCTCGCGCTCGTACTTCGCCTCGTCGATCCCGCGCTCGACCTTGAGCGTCGTGCCATTGAACGCAAAGAACGTCAAGCCCTTGCGCGCGCGGCACACGCTCTGCCATGCCCGCGGGAGCCGCTCCTCGCGGAGGAAGACCTCTAAGTCCGGCACGTGCCCGCCAAAGATGGCGAGCAGCGTTGACGAGCTGCCAACGTCGTCGTCAGCGATGGAAGCATTAGGGAAAGACACGCACTTGGCGCTCCCGAACACGGCGTGCGTCTTGTCGAGCACGAACTGCGGGTTCTCCCGTTTGGAGTCCGCCCTGCGCTTGCTGGAGAACGCGGAGAGGTCGGCGGCGGTGAGCGCGCGGGACCCGTCGGGGGCGGTTCCCGAGGCCGAGGCGAGGAGCGCGTCGACAAGGGGCAGGTGGGGCGTGCTTTGGGAGGGGGAGAAGTACGCATCTTGGCGGAGGAGAGAGGCGTCGTGCTCGATGCCGTTGTGTAGATCGAGCTCGGCGAGGTCGAACGTGTCCTGGGGTCGTCAGCACGTGCAATCGGCGGGAGGGAAGGGAGGAAAATACCTTTGAGTAGTCCCGCTTGAGCGTGTCGGCCCCGTTGCGCGCGACAAACGCCGCAAACGTCGGTGCAAAGTTGTACGTCTCGTGCACCCGTGCGGCCATGTCCGTGAACTTGACGCCCTTGCCATCTTTTTCCCAATTAGTTCCTCTTTCTCTGGTTTGTCGTATCACGCACCGTGCGGGAGTATCCCGTGATTCGCCATCGCGTTCAGCGCCGGGCACGCACACCTGCTATCGCCCTCCTTTGGGGCCGCCCACTCCGGCCAGCGCCCCTTCTCCCCGTCGTCCTTCGCTTTTGGCAGGGATGGGAGGAGCACGTTGAGCAGCGTGAGCCACAGGTCCCACACGAAGATGCGCACATTCAGCAGCACGTGGCCGATGCCCTGGAACAGCATGCTGGCTGGCGGGAGGGATGGGGAGGAGGGAGGGCGGACGGAACCGGGGGGGACGCGCGTTTTAAGCGAGGCACCAGTGGCGCCACGGACTCGGGCTTCACACGGATTTTAGTCTGTTATGTAGACGCCCGAAGCGCGGCAGGCGACGTCACGCTTGACAGCGGAAATGGGCCGTGACCGGCGGCCCAGGACGCCGGCTGCCGTTTCGGGAACAAGGGCCGCGGCGGTGGTGCAGGTGTAATGGCGCGGTGGAGTGCAGCGGGACGTCCCGCACAGCAGGGCAAGAAAGACGTCAAGCGATTAAACAAGAGAAATCGCGTGGAAGGAGGTGGACGGCCGCGTTACATGCACGCCATTGCGCGCGTAAATAGTGTCGATCGAGCTCTTCTCTAACGCCGTCGCAGCACCTTCGAATTCCTGATCGCCGTCCACCACCACCTTACACGAGCCCGTCCTTACCCCTCGCCATCAGGCACTCATGATCAATCTACCGTGTCTAAGTCTCTGAAGTAGAAAATTTTAAAACTCTCTTTTCCCATTAAAAGGTGTATTTAATAGAAACATTTTTTATTCTCTATCTACAGAGCAGAAACATTATATATCCGGATGAGAACAAATTGTTGTTTTCACTTATGTCATATTATATATATGTAAGAAACCTCTTTCAGAGAAAACTGAATTGTCCATTGAAAGTCTTTTCAATATAGATTTGTATACCTGTTTCTTTGTAGCAAAAAGAACATACTGACTACTGGCCAAATTTCCTAATCAGGTAATAGGTCACACAAAATTTGGCCTGTGGCTGAATTGAACATTTCAGCAAAACGGTCGTGGGTCACAGGCCTAGTGAATTGATTGAAATGGGTCAGTATTTTATTTTCTTCACAAAGAATATACATGTTTTGATCTCAACAAAAAATGATCTTTATATTTTTTGCAGAAAGGAGTTCCTCTTTCATATAAGCAGAAAGCACACCTTTCTCTTTTTCTTGAAAGATGTTCCTTTCCTCTACTGTCAAAGGTGTATATATAAAGAAGACCTTTCTTAGAAGGACAGAACTATATTCTTTTATATGACAAACAAACATCAATATAAAGTGCTCATTTATTCAAAGGCCCGCACTAGACAAAACCTCTCTACACCAACTCTAATAACACATACTACCAGGATGTGAACCAGATATAAATATGTAGATATCTTGGGATTTCAGGAAAGATATCCATCCATATCTTGACATGTGTCAATGAATTGGGTCAAACAGCTGATCAGCTAAGCTGGCCATATCTTCATTCTTTGTACTATTTCAGACTGCCACCCAAGTTCATATCCGTATAGTTTACTTTGGAATGTGACTGATCCTTTTGATCTCTCTGATTAGCAGTTTTGACTTGGGGCTTCCCGTACCAAACTCGCAAGTGGAAGGTTACCTCAACTCTTCAAACACAACAGAGCAGCAACTCAATCATCAGGTTGATGAGGTCTTGTAAGGGCAACCCCGGAGGCCTGAGATCAAGGTCTAGCAGGGCAGGATCCAAAGTGTGAACATTGGTAAGCAAATACAAATGAAGCTCACCTGGCAAGGGAGGATCCAAAGAGAAGATCTAAGGGTCTGCCTGCTAGGTAGCTGACTATATACTGCTTGTCCATAGCACCTGTTTAGCCTACAAAACACTGTAAGTTATCAGTGGTAACCCGCTGGGGTGCCATTGACAAGGCTCAGTATTTTCAGAACATTCACTGAGGTGAATAATTGCCAGGAGAGGGGTGAATAAAGCTGAACTCTAAAGCAAAATTCGTATCAAGTCCAAAATATAGGGGGTGAATAAAGGTGAATAATACAATAACTAAGTCCCCGGAAGTCCTGCTATGTGATATGTGTGACACATGGTCCCCAAAAGGAAATTTTATTGATAGACACTAGAGCTAATGTTTCAGGAGCTGCACAATGCTTTTTCACAGTGTTGTATAGAGTAACAAATATATCAGATTTCCAAAAAAGGAAATTTTCACCATTTAACAGTACAATCATCAGAGAATATCACAGATCGTCACAAATAATGGTTCTCTATTTTGACTATATGATCAACTTTCATTAAGTGATATATAGTAGCAGCTGAATAGTTGTGCCAGCACAAGCCAATCACTAGCTGATCTACAACTGATGAAATGATATCTTAATAACTAGAGTAGCTACAGAGCTAATTGAAGTATTACTGAGGATACCTGAATTCGAGAGTCAATATCCCTATCAATACCATGTGATCAGCATACTTATACTATCTCATGATTGTCTATCAGACATTTTGATCTAGCTATATGTCTGGCAGTTCTCTATGGATTCAGATCATTGTTTTACTAGTAGGTAGGTGGTCATATTGTCTTAGTATGATCTGATATGACCATAGTCTCATGCTTTTTGAATGTACAGTTATACCACTTTTTTGTAGTTTTTCTACCTCAAATTTGTTCAAGTATAATGATAACCTGATATCTGGGTGAGTAATGCATGGATAACGATGAGGTAAGTTGTGCCATGTCAGATGGACGTCTATGATAGCTCTAAAATCCACCGATATTTTCGATTTTGCTTTAGAGTTCAGCTTTATTCACCCCTCTCCCTGGCAATTATTCACCTTAGTAGATGTTCTAAAAATACTGAGCCTTGTCAATGGCACCCCAGCGGGTTACCACTGATAACTTACAGTGTTTTGTGGGCTAAACGGAGACATCTCTGAGGGGCCGAAAGGGAGGTTCCCTGACAGGTCTTACAATATCTTGCTATGGCCCAGTTAGTGTGTGTTATTTACAGAGCTCTATTTAAGCCTCCTCTAATAGTCAGTAGCATTGGGACTTCTTTCCTATTGAAGAGTAGAACATACTAGAGCAAAGTATTGACACACAATGCCAGAATCTCTCAATGAAGCTCACCACCAGTCATTAGATCCTCCACAATTAGACACACCCATTACCCTTACCACATATGTGTCTACGGGAGGATGGTCACACATCGAAATTGATCACAATATTCTTGCAGAATCCCTTTATCTTTATGCACTGACTGGTCCATGGCCTGTCTCCAACATTTTTCAGTAAACAATTTGTCAACATGTACTTGAATACAGACTGGGGGCTCAGCGCTAGCATTCATAGAGACCTCACAACCAGATGGCTCTGCCTGGTGTACAAGGACAAAGGTCTACACCTCTTTTCAAACCCCAGCAGATGTTCACATAGTAGCCTTGAAAATTTCCCAAACTTTGGATGTCAGATGATTTCTGGTCAACTCTGAGCAATTTGTAACAGAAATCCGTGCAAGTAACAATAAGTGTGTAGAGATAGTTCTTGAACTGTTTGATGCTGCTGTTAATTAGTGATGCTCAGGTCCGGTTCGGTCCGGTTCTCGGCCACTTTTGGCTGAACCAAGAACCCCGCGTTCGGTTCGAAATCCGGATTTGCCGGACCTGAACCCTAAACCCCGGTCCGAACCGGGCCCTGAAGCGGTGTTTTTGGCCTAATTTGGCCGAACTCCGGCCCTGGTTCTGGGTTCAAAACCGGCTTTGGCCGAACCTGAACCTCAAACCTGGGTTCAGTCCAGTCTGGTTCGGGTTCAAACCGATTTCCCAAACCGGACCTGAGCATCACTACTGTTAATCTGTATGGACTCCCTTGTCAGGTTTGCAGTGATCATGGCACAGACAAGTTTCATGAGTTATTATATGCAATTCTTAAGTTTATCCTTGCTCAGGATTCCTTGAATTGAGAGTGGATGTCAAAGTTCCATCACATAACGGTGAATATGCAGCTCCAGAATTTGGAGAAATACAGGCAAGGCAGCATTGTCTCTGATATCATTCATGTTGTCCACCCTCTGGGTTGTCACTAGCACCATGAAGCTCAAACTTGAGATACTTGAGAAGATCATTAGGCTTGCGAATATGTGTATTATAAAGCACTGCAGCAAATGCTAATAGATTATCAATACCTGGTGTAAGCTGAATCATTGTAAGGGCAACCCTGGAGACTCCGACGAAAGCCTAGCAGGGGAGGATCCAAAGCGTGAATACAACTATGGGAAATACACGGAGGGACCGACCTAGCAGGGGAGGATCCAAAGAGAAGAAACTCTAAGGGTCCGCCTGCGAGGGTGCCAACTATATACTGGTCGTCCGTAACTGCCGACGTAGAGCGCAGAAGGCCTGAGCGGCGTCGCAGGCTCTGTCCCAAGGTGATTGTTGGGAGGGTCTTGATAGATCGGTGATTGTGGAGGCGAAGGCGGCCGTGGACGATGGTCGGGGTAGGTCGGAGCGTCCGAGGGGGCCCGACCTAGCAGGGGAGGATCCAAAGAGAAGAAACTCTAAGGGTCCACCTGCTAGGGCACCAACTATATACTGGTCGTCCGTAACTGCCGACGTAGAGTGCAGAAGGCCTGAGCGGCGTTGCAGGCTCTGTCCCAAGGTGATTGTTGGGAGGATCGGTGATTGTGCGGTCGGATGCGCTCAGACGGTCCAACGGAGACATGGGGTAGGCGGGGGGGGCAGGCATGGTGAAAAAAGCTTTTGGTATAGGGTTTTGGTGGGTTTGAGGTTGTGTTTGCAGTATACGTGTAGCATTCTAGGATAGAATGCAAGATGGGTACTGACTAGCCCCACTATCTGCCTATGGCAAGGCTTTTTAGCAGTTTAGCTGGGCTGTAGTGTGACTGGAGTGTGACTAGCCTCACAATTTATCATTGACATTTAATCACCTATAATCACTAGAAGCCTACCGTAGAGACTCAATTGCTATGTATCACTCAGCAGTCAAAGTATTCTGATGAATGTAACTGGAAACATATTATTTTATCACCACTTTTGATCGCATCATCAGGTCACATGATGTGGATCATGGGAATATATTACCCGATATGGTAAGGGGGGAGTCCCAGATGGCCTGAAAAAAACCTTTCGACGGTATATCCAGTATTCGAAAGTTGGGCTTGGTAAATTCATCAACCTTATGTTGCAGTATAAATGTCTTATGTATGTCTAGTCATTTCATATACAACTGCCAAATGGGATAATTCAAGAGGTAATGAATGGGATATAAGACTATACATATGCATTAGATATTCTCTGATCATATTATTATTATTATCAACTAACCTTTTAAACCTTTTGTTTTGTTTTATTTACCATTTGCTTGACCCCAGAAATAAAAAGGATTAATAGTAAAACCGTTTATAAAGTTTGCCAGACAGAAACTGTTGGAGCCTTAGCCTGAGCCCCAGCCCTGTCTAGTCTAATTTAGCAGGATTCAAGATAGCCAAGGTTTGTAAGCTACGGGATACGACATATTTTCCTGCGCAGGGTAATTAGTGATTCAACTCCAAAGTGGGAGACCCGGTGGAGTTGTCTTTGGTATCAAGCTCACGAATATTGCTTACTGCCATTAATATCCTGGCGAGGACAACGACGGAGCAGATGCAAGAACTCGAATCAAGACAAGAAAAAAGGACAAACAGGAACAACAACATGCGATCCGCGGTGCATGCGCCGCTTGCGCGCCTGAATGTCCGCGCCGCGTCTAACACTCCCACCTTTCTGACCCCCACTAGTACAGGCCCAGGCACACTCAGTCCACCAGCCCCTCCCTACTCCCGTTGCCCGCCGCGCCGACCCCGCCGGCCCCCGCCGCACTGGCGAGCGCGAGCTCCTGCTCGAAGCGCCCCGTCGCCTTCTCGAGCCGCGCGACGGTGCGGTTGAACGTGATGAACGTGAGCCCCTTGCGCGCGCGCACGGCGGGCTCCCACCCGGGCGGGATGCGCTCCTCCTTCAGCATCGCCGCCAGGTCCGCGACGCGCCCGCCGAAGATGCTCAGCAGCGTCGTCGAGCTGGACGGCACGTCAATAATATACCGAACAGACGAAAGACACGCACTTGGCGCCCGAGAACCCCTTGTGCACCTTCGCGAGCGAGAACGCGGGGTTGTCCCGGCGCGACTCGGTCCTGCGCCCGGCGCTGACGCGCGCGAGGTCCTCGAGGGTGAGCGCGCCGCCCGGGCCGGACGCGGCGGACAGCAGCGCGTCGACGTAGGGCAGGTGCGGCGCGTCCTGCGCGGCGTCGAAGTGCGCGTCGCGCCGGGTGAGCGAGGCGTCGTGCTCGATGCCGTTGTGCAGGTTCAGCTCGGCGAGGTCGAACGTGTCCTGGGGACGCGGATCAGCGGACGTGAAGGGAGAGAGAGAGAGGAAACGCACCTTGTGGAAGTCCTTGTGGAGCATGTCGGCCGCGTACTGCGGGACGAAGCGGCAGAAGGTGCCCCCGAAGTTGTACGCCGCCGCGATCTTCGCGCCCATCTCCGCGAACGAGATGCGGCGTCCATCATGTGGGAGGATGCCGTGGTTGGCCATCGCGTTGAGCGCGGGGCAGCAGCAGCGGCTGTCGCCCTCCTTCGGCGGCACATATTCCGGCCAGACGCCGCGCGCGCCGGGGTGGCCCGCGGGGACGACGGCGCCGGGCTTGCGCTGCGGGGTGAGCAGGTTCGCGAGCGTGAGGTAGGCGTCCCAGAGCGCGATGTACGCGTAGAACAGCGGGCCCGCCATCGTCGTTGGGAAGAGGTGGGAAAGGGCAGGCGAGGGAAGCGAAGAGAAGAAGCAGCAGCAGGGAAGCGAGCAGCGCTATATACCCCCCGATTCAGACTCCGACTCCCTCAGCCTCAGGCTTATGCTCGTGCTGGCAGCGGCGGACGCAGAGGGGCCGCGAAGAAGCTCCACGTTCTCCAGCCGTCCATGTGGCGCAGAAGCCCGGGCGGCGGACACCGTGCACGGGCACGCGCCCGTCACCCGCTGCCAGCGATGAGGGCCAGAATGCAGCGTGCGATCGTCCGAGGCCTATTGGCCATGTACCCCCGGACGCCGGCGCAAAGTCGCTAGGCTGCCCACCCGCCGCACACGCGGCCAGCGGCGCCCACCTCCCCTTGCATTGTCCCGGACTCCGGCCCCTGAGTCCCGCCGCCCGCGATAACCCGGATGCTTGCCGTCGACGTCGTGTGCCACTGGGGCGGCAGGCGGCAGGCACGGTGCATGACGCACGACAGGACTCCGCTTCCCAAGTTGTTCCCAAGCCACGTCGCCGTCTACGTCGCGAAGTGTGTGACCGTGATGTGCGTTACATCGTGACATGTGTCCGGGCCGCGGCGGGTTCGACGCGTGTATAGGAAAAGACCAGCCAGAATCTTTTTTCCTGCCCTTGTTTTGTTTCGTCTTGTTCTCAGGACTAGTAATTGGGGTGCAACTTTCCAAGAAGAAAAAGATGGATATATATTATATCACACCATGAAAACTTGAAAAGTTCCAGGCTGCTCCAAGACAGTACAGTACAGTACATTGTTGTGCAAATAAACTACTCTTGTTCAAAAGACAGAGACAAGTTTACCGCTCTATGAGAATAAAAGATATGGCACAGACAAACTGCTTAGAGCAACAATCATTCTCAGCACATCAAGAGCACAGTATCTAGTCAGCTACCTAGTAGACAGACTCTTACATAGATTTTCTCCTCTTTGGATTCTCCCCTATGGGGAGTACTTGCAACCAATACGAGTTCAGGTTAATCAATCTGCATTATATACAATTACATTGATCAAGCACAAAATTGATTGTCTGGTTTTACAATTCAAAACAAGTGCTTTTCATAAACAATCAATTTGTGTATTTGTCCGTTTGTAAGGGCAACCCTGGAGACTCCGACGAAAGCCTAGCAGGGGAGGATCCAAAGCGTGAATAAAAGCTACGGAAATACACGGAGGGACCGACCTAGCAGGGGAGGATCCAAAGAGAAGAAACTCTGAGGGTCCGCCTGCTAGGGCGCCAACTATATACCGGTCGTCCGTAACTGCCGACGTAGAGCGCAGAAGGCCTGAGCGGCGTCGCAGGCTCTGTCCCAAGGTGATCGTTGGGAGGGTCTTGACGGATCGGTGATTGTGTGGGCGAAGGAGGCCGTGGACGATGGTCGGGGTGGGTCGGAGCGTCCGAGGGGGCGCCGGTTGGATGCGCCTCGGATGCGTTTGGAGGGTCCGAAGGAGGCCGAAGCCGGGGGTTCCCCTGACACTGTTGTGATATTGGGAGGCTCTGGCCAGCTCCTGGCTATATGTTCAAACCTCACAGCTCAGTGTCTGAACTGAGCTGCAACAGACTAACTTGATGTCTTACAACTATTAATCATATTTATTACAAGTCACTCAGATTGATCAAAGGTGCTCATAGACTCAGACAAGGACTCAGAAATAGGGCAGCCATCATTTTGAATTCCTTAAACCTGGAGACAACCCAAAGTATGGTGGTATATATTCAAAGATAGGAACAACATCCCATTATCATCTGACATCCATACTCACTTGCAGTGAAGTGGAGCACCAGGTGGCTGAGGATCCCAGGGCTTGAAGGATTGGCATCTGCACTTGGTGAGAGAAGTGCACCTACACTGGCGAGTTTGGGGCATGCTGGCGTACATATTGCGATGACCAGTACCGCCGTGCCGGCCCAGGTATTACTAGTATATAGGCGCCGCCCTTAGGACTCGGCACTATATCTGTCAGACTGCGGGTCGGGCCATGCAAGGTCCTCTCCTAAGAACGCACGCCCGGAACAGAACAGACGGATAGTCGGGCCCGCGAGTACGGCGAGCGGGGTAGATCGAAACCGAAAGGGCCTGTGAACTCGGTCCCTTGTCGTCGGCGATGGTTGAAGGTTCGAATCGGGTCGTGTCGGGCCCGATAAGTCGATGGCACCTCCTTGCACGGAGTAAGGTAGTTCTTCAGACGATCTAAGCGATAGAGTACATGGTACACTATCGCACCTTATATACGCGGGCCCGCAAAGGGGTAATCAGACACCCTGGCCTCTCCTCCTCCTCCTCCTCTCTCCCGTTCCTGGCTGCAGAGGGGACGATCGGACATCTCTTGCAGGCCAGGCGCTACTCCTAACCTCCTAGCACTCCTCTCCAACCCCTGGTGTCGAGTTGGACTCGGCAACGGCTCGACGCGTCATTCTCGGTCATGTGCTTCCCACATGTGTGTTCCTCCTACTGGGGTGCATGTTCCCCGTCGTCACGTGCTGGGTCTTACGGGCCCGCGGTGGCCCGACACCAGCGCCGGAGAGGACGGGCCGGGTCTTATCCGTGACAGTATCCCCTACTGTACCGTACACCGTACCGTACCGTAAGGCCGGCCAGTGCCTCGTCCGTACGCCATAAGGTCCGCATTTGGTCTGTATCACCCGTAAAAGGGCCCGTACTGTATATGGTACATACGGTGCCGAGCCCTAGCCGCTCTCAGGACTGCGCAGTGCTGAAGACCTTAAGCACCCAAAGCCTCTTACATATATTGCTCGAGTCAAGTTCTAAACAGTTCAACTGCCTTATCCTCCACTACCGCTTCATTCTGTGCCAGTGGGTTATCCAGGTATCTGTCCTGTCAATTAACATTTATCTCTGGCCCACTTGCATCCTTTCCACAACTGCTCGCACACAGTGCAAGTCCAGCATAATCTGCATCCATTTTCTGATATCCCATAACCTTCTTGCTACCATCCCTGTTACTGTCTAAGCAAAACCCAGTCAGCATCTTTTTCCTTTTTTTTCCCTTGTTCTGGTTTTGTTCTGTCTTATTCTAAGGACCGGTAAACCCTGCAATCGGGGTCCCACTTTCCAGAAGAAAAAATGGATAAACTGAGTTCCAGGCCACCCCCGGGCCCTCCTCTCCAAAATAGTCTGTTGTTGGAATAGAAACTCATTCTGGGGTCATTATTCAAGAAATGGAAAAGAAGTTCACCTCTCTCTGATAACAAAAGGCTGTTGTAATTTGTCAGGGAACCTCTCTTCCACCCTCCCTGGAGATATCTCCATCTCTAGTCAGGCACATTGCCACCACCCAGCAGTCCTCTAGATAATCCCCCTGGGCCCTGACTTACACTATAATATAGGCATACTGCTTAGACCAATAATCATTCTTGATATATTCAGAGCACAGTATCTAGTCAGCTAGCACTACCTAGCAGGCAGACTCTTACATGGAGTTTCTACATTAATATTTCTCAACAATCGGAATTGGATATGGAAATCGGACCACAAAACTCGGGACGAGTTTCGCCTAGTGGGGGGGTGATGTGACGGTTCGGGTCGGGCCGTCGGGCCCTATACGGCCCGACGGGCCCTCACCACCCTTAGAGCCCTAGGGCTTGACAAGCCCTCATATATTCACAAGCTCAAAGCACTGAGCAACAACACTAATATCCCAGAGAAGGGACATAATCACGGATCGCGCTTTAGTCAGCCATCAAGCCATCATGACCCGCCATCAGGGATCATGATGCGCCGCCGGACGCCCTTGACAGCGGGCCCAATCGGCCCCAGACAACCACAGGGATCAGGAGGGAGCTCCTCACTGTTGCATTGCCAAAACACTCCTTAGTGTCGACTTTGGCATGGCTCCTTTCCAGAGGAATGGTCCCTGGGCTCCTAGCGGAGCGACCAGGGACGACCAGAGACATCCCCTGCTCCATTCTGATCGACCCTCAGCGGGCCCGATCGGCCCCTAGCGCCCACAGTATATAAAGACTAGAGTATTACTCCTGTACCTTAGGTTTAGCATTGAAGTCTCTTCCTTTGAACCCTACTCCGGCCTGGTCCCCTAGAGCGGGGTTGCTGCGACCATACCCCAGGAAAGGGGCGTCTAGACGACTTCCAACACTCCAGGCTAGCTTGCCTCATTGACCTGAGCCCTTGGTTGGGCTGGACAGCTCAGGCTCTTGTCTCTTATGTTCACCCTTGTCCTAGCCACTTCTTCTTGCTCTCTGGCCTCAAGCTCTGGGTTCCCCTGGTACGGGGCGATGGGAGGGTGCGGGCCCGATCGGGCCCGCATGTCACGCGTCACACCGCGCAGTCACGCGGTGTCTAGGAGCCACAGCGACTCGTTTCTCCAGGAAAGGAGATATGTCGCCCCTTGGACTGGCAACCCTTCTCAAGCGCTCCAGGGGTCTCGGGCCCGCAGCCCCTGCTGCGGGGCGACTCCCCTCGACCCCCCGAACCGTCGGGCGTGACCGCGTTACGTCACGCCCCGCCCGAACAGCTTGTTCAACTGGCTGAGCCTGTGCCTTGCCCTATGTCTTGGGCACCGACTCTACTAGGCAGCACTCTTTGGCTATGGACTCGTTCCCTTCAGCAGGGGTAGGACACTCTAGACGACTACTCGTATCCTGTGACACCGCTGTCACACAACGTGACAGCGGGGCGTCTCGAGTCGCCCCGAGTTGTTCCTACCCTGCTCTCTATTGCAGCAGTGGCACCATCTACGCTGCCTGGTTGCCGACCACCTAGCTATGGGGGTTGAACCATCTTTCCCACACTTGTCAGACTGGCAGGAGATCGTCACGTGGGCCCGGGCCGGCCCCGTTCCTAACAGTTTCTTCTCTTTTGATTCTGCACTGTGGGGAGGACTTGCAATTAATATGAGTTTAGGTTAATTATATATAATTATATTGATTAAGCACAAATTGATTGTTTGGTTATATAATTCAAAATAAGTGTTTTCATAATCAAGTTGCGT